AAAAAAAAAAAAAAAACACTCCAACTGCTTTTGGTTTCCCTGACACTCAAATGCAATTCCTTATGTTTCAATATATTTTGAAGTGTCTGGGTAGTCAGAACTAAATGCTCTACCTCTTAGTAACTTTGGAAACTTCTAGGTAATCAAGGTCTGATGAAGGACTGTTATTTTTAGTTTGAATCTACCAGGCTATTATTTCACTTACTCAAACTTGAATTTTCTCACTTGGAGAAAAGGCCATTTACTAACTTATGAATACTATGCATATCTTTAAATAAATAGGCTCAAGACTTACTGTATTTGTTAACAGGGAAAAAAATTAACTGGAAACACCACAAGGTTTAGAAAAACTTAGATGAATCCAAAACAAGTCCTGGTAGTGTTTCAAAATTAGCTTATTTTTGAAGCCTGGAAAGTTTCAGTTCAGTCCATGTAAATGATTTGTGAACACTGAAGTGCTAGGTATTAAGATTGAGTAGATATCTGCATGCAGAGTTCAGAGGGGTGAGGAGGAAGACTGGGTCTATGAATAAGACAATCCCTGTACTCACTATACACCAGCATGTTTGGCACATCCCAGACTTCGGTACTGATAGACCTCCTTGTATATGGAGTACACGCTCCTTCACTGGCAATGGCCATGGCATAATTGATCATTTGGTTGCCTGGGTATTCTAGGTAGCTGGAAGCAGGCAATATATAGCACATCCATTTTTTGAAGACCAGCAACACAATACAGATCAGAAACATTGACTCATCCCTATAAGTTCAGTTTTGTATTCTAAAAGGTTTGGTTGGACATTTCATTTATTCATCTTAAGTAATAACCTGCCATGCAGGTTAGAGGGAAATACTGTAGTGTGCAGAATACAGAGATAACCTTTCACTCATATGCTACTCACTAGGTAATCCACTTAAGAAATATTCCTTGAGTACTGATAAATTTGGAGGATGAATAATTATTCTTAAAAACTATAGAATCAGCATGATACAGATGACTGAATACAGATTACTGTGTTAGTGACACTATAAAAGACAGAGAAAGGTTAGACATTCAGCAAACCTACCAGGAACATTTATTTATTTACCTGGATACCTCTGGTTTCATCAACCTGATTATTACCTTTTCTTACTCTGTTATAGATCTGCCATGCAGATAGGTGTCTAATTCTGTTACAATTTTATCTGCTGGATATACATACTGTAACTTGTAAAAGTACTCTTGCAGAGAAACTAATCAAAACCATCAACCAGTTTAGAAAGGTAGCAGAATATAAAATCAACACACAAAAGTCAGAGGCCTTCCTATATACACAAACAACCAATCAGAAGAAGCAAAAATAAAAAAAAAAAACCCTTTTCAATTAAAACAAAAAGAATCAGGCCCTCCCTGGTGGCGCTGCGAGTTAAAGCAAAGCATTAAGAAGCTAAAGCCACTTCGGCATGAGTTCGATTCCCGCCTGCCCTGGAGGTGACCACATGGCGTGGCAGACCTCTCCTGACCCGCCCACTGCTCCCCTCAGCAGTGTACTTCATCAATCTGCCTGTTCTGCTCCCCAGTCTGTCTTTGGTGAAGCCTGTCACCCTCTGCAACTCTGGCCTGTACCCCAGTTCTGTATGCACAAATAAATCTTTAAAAAAACAAAACAAAAAGAATCAAATACCTGGGTATCAACCTAACAAAAGAGGTAAAAGACCTATACAAAGAAAATTACAAAACACTGTTAAAAGAAATTCAAGAAGACACCATGAAATGGAAAGCCATCCCCTGCTCATGGATCAGGAGAATTAACATCATCAAATTGGTCATCCTACCGAAAGCGATATACAGAATTTAACACCATTCCAATAAAAGTCTCAATGGCATTCTTCAAAGAAATAGAAAAAAATATTGATGAGATTCATATGGAACAACAAAAGACCTCAAATAGCCAAAACCCTCATGACTAAGAAGAAAGAGAATGGAGACATTACAATCCCAAACTTCAAGCTATACTGCAAAGCCATAATAATCAAAAGTGCATGGTACTGGAACAAGAACAGACATACAGACAGTGGATTCAGATAGAAAACCCAGATATAAACCCACATGTTTATGGGCAGCTAATTTTTGACAAAGGAGCAAAGAAGATACAATGGAACAAAGAAAGTTTGTTCAGCAAGTGGTGCTGGGAAAACTGAGAAGCTACATGCAAAAAAAATGAAACTAGATCACTAACCTAACACCTCATACACAAAAAACAACTCGAAGTGGATTCAAGACCTAGACATAAGAACAGTAACCATAAAATACCTGGAAGCAAAGATGGGCCAAACACTACATGACATACACTTAAGCGACATCTTTGAAGATAGAGCACCCAATGCAATGATAGTGAAGGCAAGGATACATAGATGGGACTACATCAAGTTAAAGAGCTTCTGTACAGCAAAAGCAACATTACAAAAGACAAACAGACATCCCACTGAATGGGAAAAAATTTTCTCACACAAAACTAGTGATAAAGGATTGATTACAAAGATGTACAAAGAACTGATGAAACTCAACAAAAGTAAACAACCCCATAAAAAAAATGGGCAGAAGAGCTGAAAAGACACTTCTCCAAAGAGGAAATGCAGATGGCCAACAAGCATATGAAAAAATGTTCAACATCACTTGTAATAAGGGAGATGCAAATTAAAACCACAATGAGATACCACCTCACCCCAGTGAAAATGGGACATCTTCAAACAACTAGCAACAACAAATGTTGGCGAGGATGTGGAGGAAAAAGGAACTCTCCTGCACTGCTGGTGGGAATTCAAACTAGGACAACCACTATGAAAAACGGTTTGGAGGTTCCTCGAACTGCTAAACATGGAGCTTCCATATGACCCAGCAATCCCACTCCTAGGTATCTACCCAAAAGACACAAAAACAATGATTCAAAAAGATACCTGCACCCCCATGTTTATTGCTGCTTTATTTACAACTGGAAAGATATGGAAACAGCCCAAATGCCCAAAAAAAGGATGACTGGATTATGAAGATGGTACATATACACGATGGAATATTACTCAGCAACCAAAAATAAATAAATAAATAAACACATGCCTTTTGTAGCAACATTGATGGAGCTGGAGAAGATCATGCTTAGTTAAATAAGCCAGAAAGAAAAGGAAAATACTGGGTGGTTTCACTGATAGCAGGAGTATAATGGACCAGGAGAGAAAAGGAAAATACTGGATGGTTTCACTGATAGCAGGAGTATAATGGACCAGGAGAGAAAAATAATAATAATAATGATAATGAACAGCTATATACCAGAGACATTTTGTGGGGGTGGAGTGGGGAATGGGATCAAAAACAGTGTGGGGAGGGAAATGCACTGGACTATGGTGATGGCACATGGGTTATCTGGTGAAAGGAAGCCCACAGGGATTACAACTGAGATGAAAAAATGCACAAAATGATGTAAAAATAAACTATTATACTATTATAAAAAGTAATAAGTGAAAAGTACTCTGTCTTGCTTATCTAAAACTTACCTAGTTCAAATTTCATGTGGCCCTATTCTAATATAAAATTTCATGGGGTAAATAAAAAAATCTCATCTAGACTTTTCTCAAGTTTATAGGTTTTGCTCACATAAATAGAGCCCAATTTTATAATTTCTCAGTTACCAAACCCTTTTCTTAGGCCATTTTCTAAAAGGTACTAACTTCTAAAAATTTACTGAACATAATTTAACCTTTGCTAGCTAGTTGGAAATCAACTGTTAACAGGGCTGACAGTCATTTCTGTCAAAAGCTACACTGAAGTAGACTGGGGTATATGGACTGCAGAAATGGGTCATGCCCGATGCTAAATTCCTATGTATGTCAAATATATACTTGCACATTTTCTTTCTCTCAAAATTAAGTAAAGCATGTAAAAATCAAGCTCTGGCTCACTTGGCTTCATGATACATTACGATTTACCATACGCAGAGAATTAAATGTAGTTAGTTTTAGAATGATGCACTTGTAACTAACCTGTGATGGCACAAAGGGAAGGGAAGTACTCACATTAGCTGCACCCAGGAGGATTAGTGTGGGCCCGAGGCCTATGGTGTAGATGGATCGGAGCATCACAGACACAAGGAATGGCCGAATACCCACAGGCTTGGAGAAGAAAAACAGCATAGACGTGCAGACTGCAACTGCCATCCAAAGAAGAACTGAGAACAATGGAGAAAGTGTACCTGAAAGGGGTGGGGAGGAGTTTGTTTTAAGAAGAATAAAATTTAATAGGTCAAACTATTTGCCACTTTGTATGACTCCACTGAATTTCAAAACGAACCCCCACGCACTGTAGAGTGAAAGGAAGTGTCTTCACACACGTTACCCATTATTACAGTTCCAGAACATCTGTGATTAATCTCAGGCTGATTAGATACTCACCAGTTAATGTTCCTTCCATTAAGTCTGAGAGAATTGTTCATCTTTCTCTCCTATGGGGCGTTATATGCTAAATACTTTTGATAGACGGATCTCCCTTGGGAATCTCAATTCAAAATTTATGATTAATGACCATTAACTGCACAGTGAAATCATGTACTTTTTTTTTTTGCCATCAAACTCATAACTTGTCTTATCCTATTATCAAGTTTCTCTATTACAGAATCAATCCTCTAAAGAATTCAGAATATATATAGTTCTATGTACATTTTACTGGGTGAATGCCACAAGCTTTAAATGTGTGCATGCTTGTGTTTGAAGACCAACACCAATTCCTAAAATGTTGAGCTATTTAGTAATCAGAGAATGAATGTTGCAAATAGTTTTAAAAGCTCCATTACAGAAGAATTCTTTTGAAGTTTCCCCAGTGAAGGTATATACATATGTATATTTCCTTTAAAAAGTAGTCTATGTCCCTGACACTCACACTGACATGTGGCTTTGGGAATCCTCTCTGAATGTTCCGGGGGGCTGCATTTGCAGAAATAAACTAAGGGGCAACATTTTGAGGCCAATTAGAGCAATTCTGGAGCCTCACACTGACTTTAGGTTGATAAAATCAGAGAAGCAGCAACAGAAGTGGAGATTTTCTACAGTTATATAGTTCTTGTTTATAAAATTTACTTTTGCATATCCAAGATCACAAAGCTTAGGTGTGGGAGCTTCAGCATTATCAGCAAGATCCTGGGTGTCTGGCCTCCTTCAGTGAATCCTATGTAAGCCTCTAGTTCCCCGAGAGTGTAAAGAGGACACAGTAGATAGGAAGATCATGCCGGACATTAAAAAATAAAACACCAAACAAAATGAGATGTATAAGAGCATTATTTCAGACATGCCCATTTTGCAATATTTGTCATTATCATGCCATCTCTAACAACAAGCAGTGATGAGACATAGTTGGGAAGAGGGGTTCCATCTGCCACTTCAGCACAGTCTGGTAAGATGACTTTAAGGAAGGGCAAAGAAAAGGTAAATTGCTCCGCAAATGACCTTCACTGCCTGTCCACTGGCAACACTAACAAAATGGGCACCCTGCTTGTGTTCAGAAGCTGCTGGTAAGCATTAATGTTTATAAAACACAGCTCAACCACTGGCTGCCCCAGTGTGACAGATCTCAAAGGAGCATGGAGAGGATGAAGCCTGTAGCTTCTCTCCTGGGTGCTGGAGCTCTCGAAGGGCGAGACTTTTTCACCTCTGGCCCCATATCTGGCCTATCACAGCACGGGGATGCAAGAATGAACATGGGCTTGTTAATGAACTGAGCAAACACATACTCTGAGCTCACTCTGAGTAACTAAATCTCCAGTTATAAATTCTCCAACTTGCCAGCTTCACTCTTTTGTGCTAACATCCCTGCTCATTTCACGACTCTTAGACAGTCACTGGATTCTTCAGAGTAGCTGATAAGCAATGTGCTCTTCTTATTTCGACAGCCCTGTCACACCGTGCCTTGTCATCAGTGCTGACTCTTCTGTCCCAGATGGTGTCTGGCTTTCTGGGATTTCCCCTTGATTAAACAAGAAATTATAAGTGTGGACTTCACCCCAGGCATGTGACTCCTTTATAGAGAGAAGTCAAGAGTATGTGCAACAGTACCACACAGTTTCATGCTTGGCGTGTATTTGTGGAGTAAATACACTGCAGAGCTATTCCAAATGGCTATTAATTGACAATTTTATCAAATGACCATAATTTATGATCATAATCTGTAGGGATGATCATACTGCTTTCCAGCTAAAGATTTAATGCTTAAAAAGTAAACTGAGGGGTTCTCCCTAGTGGCACAGTGGGTCAAAGCACTGCATTATGAAGCTCTCTGAAGCCACTGTAGCACAAGTTCGAACCCCCTCCAGAGAGCTGACCCACATGGCGTGGCAGACCTCTCCTGACCTGCCCGCTGCTCCCCTCAGCAGTGTATTTCAGTAGATCTGCCTATTCTGTTCCCCACTGTCTCTGGTGAATCTTTTCACCCACCACACCTCTGGCCTGTATCCCAGTTCTGTAAGCATAAATAAATCTTTAAAAAAACAAACAAACAAACAAAAAAACCAAAACTTAAGTCTTCTGTCAAATGTAAGCAATTGTCCAAGCTAATTTTTATCCATTAAGAGTAGGAGAAGGGGACAGACTTCTTTCTACTTGTTCTACTTGTATTATTTTTTTAATAATGAGCTAATTTCTACAATGGAAACATTTTTAAGGATTCATGTTATACATTTTAACATCTGAGGTACTACGAAGTGTGTCCTTTATAACAAAGTGTGTCCTTTATAGAGAGACATTCAAGCACCAAAATCAGAGATGTCAATTCAGTTCAGCTGCTGGACTCTGCTGTCTCCCTCTAAAGCCCTGCTAACATCCTGCTCTGTAAAACACGCCTTACTTCCAGCCTCCATCGACTCCTCGGCCTCCCAGGACAGCTCAACAAGCAGGCAGCTGGCCCATACCACGGGTGGTCTTTACCACCAGGCCTTGCTCACTCCTTCCTCCCTGAACTTGTCCATGAGCTCCAGGATGGTCCTGCCAACCTGTGTGATCTAGGACATAGTCACTGGCACAGAGCCACGGGCCAGCCTCACCTATTACAAAGTGGGCTGAATTAGAAGAACTTTTTTGTTTAACACAGAGCATTTCAGGAAAGAGCATTGCACCAGAATTGGAACAGGATTTTTCAAGGTTATCACTTTCAAGGTGATCGCTTTTTGGATAAAAGAAGCTCCCAGGACAGCCGTTCCCTCCACTCACTACTCCGCCTTTGCCAGATAAAGTCGAGGCAGATGGCTGCCAGCACAGCAATGTTCAGCTTCTGAAAGGGACCCAAAGGAGGGGTCCCTGCATGGACAGCTCTGCTCAGCCACAATCAGCAGAGCTCTGCTCTTTGGCTTTAGCACAAGATCTTTTTAAGGAAGCCCACATCCAAGAAATGCACCCATCCACCAAGGAAACTGAAACCTGAGCCTCAAACCAAGGTCTTTAAATCCTGGCCATGAAAGATAATCTGCAGAGGTGCAGGGGCTGGTTGTGAGGAGGTGGGGGTGCCCATAAACTCATCCTCTCAGATTTCTCTTAAATGTCTTTCTCAATCACTGCAATCACTACCTTGATCGAAGGAAAACTCTTCCTGGGAGAATATCTTGATCCAAGGCGGTCCAAGAATCTGCACAAGTAATTCTCAGTGGCTCCTATGAGATCAGGCTGAAGTTATGCTGGGAGAAAAGTCCCCTCCCAGCCCTCTGTCCCCACAGCCCTGTGGCCCATATGATTCCAGGGCAGCCTTTATCAGGGATAAGGGGTGCGCAGAGGGCCCTTTTTGACCACATGTCTTTTGGATCAGGGTCATTCTTCCCAGTATCTCTCCCTTCCAAGTGGACTCCGTAATTGATGTTTATACCCAGAATCCGGGGACCTCACGGTAGGAAAAAACCTTATACTTTTTTAACTTTCTATTTTAAATCTCTTTCAGGCTTACTAAGTGTTGCAAAAGTAATATAAAAATCCCATACACTGCTACCTATTCTCTCCAAAGGTCAGCCCCTTGCCTAACCACTTACAGTGATCAACACCAGGAAATTAGTAGGATATTCTACTTTTACCTAAGCTAGAGACTTATTCAAACTTCATGAAATGCCAGATCACAGCTCTGTGTCTAGATCTGCATCACACAGGGCACTGAGCTGTTCTGTCTTGTTGATCTGTTTTCATCTGTATGGTTCAGAAGAGTACTGGCCAGTTTTAGTGAAGAAACTCCCTCATTCTGGTTTTGCCTGAAATATGTCCTCATCTTACGTGTTTTGAGCAAATGTCATGTCCTTGTCAGTGGATCCTATCAGGGGGCTTGTGGTATTGCAAGATCACGTCAGCACTGCTACTTTAGTTAAAGTGGTTTTTCAAAGCTCCAATTTTTTCCTCCTGTAATTTATCACTAGGTTGTGGGGAAATACTTTCAGACTATGTCATTATGCTTTATTATCTAGCATTTCCCTATGACTTTCAGCTTCCACGGATGATTCTTACTAATGTAATGTTTTCCCAAACACTGCTATTCTATTTCCACCCTCCTTCTGTGTTCACTAATTGGAATGCTATCCTAAGAAAAGCTTTCTCTGCTCACTATTGGCATGGACTCTTATTTGGAGTCTTGTTCCGAGTTATTATATATGACTGTCAATATTTATTTTACTCAAAATTTCCACAGATTTGCCTATATGAAGGGGGATGTTCCAAGTTTTTTTTTTTTTGGACAGATTTCTATTTTTTTAAGCACTTTTAGAAAGAAGCCTTAAAAATCAAGTAATATAAAGGGAGGGGCAAGATGGCAGCAGAGTAAAGATGTCAAAATCACTACGTTCAAGCTCACACAGGAATATAACTAAAAAGGACTGTAGACTTACATACTACTAGTTTCAACCCAAATGAGAAAACCCTGGACTCACTAGAAGGAAGATAACTGAAGAAGAATTGGCAATTGGGGAGTTCCGATAGGGGAGCTCTGATCAGGGAGCACCCAGGCTCCCAGGCACTAGGAAGTGCTGCGGTCTGCAGGAGCTTCTTTGGCCCTAGCTAAAGCCCTGAAGGTGAAGGGAGACAGCTCCTTGAGTGGAGCCCAGGCTTCGGAAAGACTGCAGATCCAATCCTGGAGTGCCTAGGTGCTAGGCAAAGCCACTAAAGGCTCAGCTCCAGAATGGGCAAGATGGCAGCAGAGTAAAGATGCCGAAATCACTAAGTCCAAGCTCACACAGGAATA